CCACTCACCTCGGCCTCCCAAAGTGCTGGGATTACAGACTGAGCCACCAAGCCCAGCCCAGACCGGATTTTAAAAGGAGAATAAGACAGAGAATGAACAGTGCCCACACACATCCCCAACAAAGGGCGTTCCCACCCCTGCAGGGAACCAGAGATGGGAGTTGGGCTATATCCCAAGAGGCAAGGGAACAGGACCACAAGATAGGCCCAGATTTGTGAGAGGCGCTGTCTAGTCTAACCTTACTACCTGGTGGGGAGTAAGGTAAAAGATGAGATTTCTAGCTGGGTTCGGTGGCTCAGCCTGTAATCCCGTGCCTTGGGAGGCTGAGGTCAGTGGATTGCCTGAGCCCATGGGTTTGAGACCCACCTGGGAAACTTGGTGAGACCTCATCTCTACAATAAATCAAAAAATTAGCCGGGCGTGGTAGCGCACGCCTATAATTCCAGCTACTTGGAAGGCTGAAGTGGAAGGATCGCCGGAGCCCAGCAGGTCGAGGCTGCGGTAGCCAGGAGCGGCCATTGCACTCCAGTCTGGGTGACAGAGTGAGACTCCAACTCAAAAAAAAAAAAAAAAAAAGATGAGATTTCCCTCCTCCCCCACACGCTGCCCTTGATATCAGGCACCACACCAAGGTCTTCCAACTTTTTCTTTCCTGACTTCTTACACACTGAGCCGTCAGAATCAATGTGAAAACCACACCACTTGGATCTAATAGATATATTTCCAAAACTCACCCCTGCTATCAGAGGCCTCAACAATGTGGCAAGCTAGTGGGGTACTGATAATGGAACCCCAGCACTTAGCTCTCATGCTGACAGAGAAACATACTCCAACAAGGTGTGACTGAGAAACAACAATTTAGGCATGTCTCAGCAATGGGCACTGCTATGAGTTTACACTTAATGGTAGCTTAGGTGTTTATGATGAAGGATACTCTCCCTCCCCTTCGCCCCCAAGATATAATAACCATTTTAGGTATGTCCCAACTGTTAGGCAGGTCTACTTAGAATTAAGCCTATTAATCTCCATTTCTGATGAGGAGAGAAATGTAATGAGGCTAATTTTTGTGTAAAGCATGTGATGTGTCCTAAGGCTAAGGGAAACGTATTATGACTATATAGTCACACACTGCTGACATCATTCCTTTCAGAGGATTCAGAATTCAAGAGTTAGGAAGGTCTCAGAGATTCAACAATTTGGGAATTCAAGAATGTTAAATAAAGGACCTGAAACCAAGTATTTAAATTGGCATTCATTTATTTTCCCTGGTTGATTTAAAATTCTTTAACAGCCTAGCAAGTTTCAAAATAACTTTTAAAAATAATCAACATTCACTAAATTTTAACTCTTGTGTTGCAGCCATGATATAAAGTACTCCATGTGCATCATCTCACTTAATCCTCAAGATGACCCTACCTGGGAGATTCTGTTATTATTCCCACATTACAGATGCGGAATCTGACACCTGCACTGCTGCTTAGTCAAACCCATATATGTCTGCCCAGAGCCCTGGTTCACTTAAAAATGGACAAGCAATTCACCTAGTAACAGGTGCTCTTACCTTTGGTGAGCAACACTTTGCTGCAGCCTGCCCCAGCAGCAGATCTCAGAATTGTCCCCAGGTTCCCAGGGTCACGGATATTGTCACAAATCAACAATAAGGGCAGTGAATGGTGAAGCTGAGCCTTTGGGTATGTCATCTTCACATGGTCAGGTTTGGCAAAAATCCCTGAGGAGACAAAACAGGAAGTTCACTTGTCTGATATGAACACGGGGAATAGTCTGAATTTCCACAGACTTATCTTTCTTTAAATATGTTTAGTTACATAGAAATACATGAATACAACATTCTGATTGAAAAAATTCAAACAAAATTCTACTACTGCCACTTCCGTCGCCCTTACATCTGTGTTCAATCTTGGAATGTATCCTTTCAGAACATCCACCTACATATAAGCACATCTACCCATATATAGTTTTTTTTTTAAACATAAAAAACCATACTCTATTCCATATTCTACTTACTTTACTCAATAATTAAACATGGCTTGAAGAACTTATGTCAATACCTTTGAAGCTACTTAGTCTTTTAACTGTTACATTGTAATTTGAATGTACCACCATTCATTTAGCTCTTTCCCTACTGACTGTTAAATTACCTAAAATTTTTCCCACTACAGACAATGCTGCAATGAATACCTCTGTATGACTAACTGGTGCATGTCCAAAAATTTCTCTAGCATAAGTGAAATGAACAAATGGTGTATGTGTACTCTTTTTTTTAATGTTTCATAAAATTTTATTCTTTAAAATCTTAATTTACAAGCATTGGCACATTTTAAAAACAAACTACACAAACAGATCTTTCCTATAGTCTAGAAAAGCAGAATGTCAGAAGTCAACAAAATGTGATAAAGTGGTAAAACAGAAGGCACTTCACAAAATCTGTTCACTGAAACAGTTATATATATCCTCATTTACATCCTTCATTTTATAAGTGGCAGTGAATGTCTGTTTCGATAGAAGGACATACAGAAATAGTTTCATGGCAATAAAAATATAAGACAAACAAGTGAGGAGTCATTGGCCAACTCACTTTGTTTTTGATGACCTGCAGTCTACTTTAACTTTCCTCTCACAAGAGGAAACAGAAGGATTCAGAATTGGAAGAAACATTTAAATTCCAGAGTGTAATTACTGGGGGGGGATTGGTGGATAGTTTGGGGGTTTTTTTTGTTGTTATTTTTTTGAGTTGGAGTCTCACCCTGTCACCCTGGCTGAAGTGCAGTGGCACACTCATGGCCACCGCAGCCTCAACCTGCTGGGGTCAGTTGATCCTTCCGTCTCAGCCTTCCAAGTAGCTGGAACTACAGGTATGCACCACCATGCCCGGCTATTTTTTGATTTATTGTAGAGATGAGGTCTTGCCAAGTTGCCCAGGCTGGTCTCGAACCCACAGGCTCAGACAATCCATTCGCCTCGGCCTCCCAAAATGCTGGGATTACAGGCTGAGCCACCGAGCCCAGCCAGATTGGTGGATATTAAATCACTTTTCTCCTGAAGCAGTCAGAGTCCTTTGTTTTTATGGCTGAAGTTTTGTGAAGTAAAAAAGAAAGTATTAGGGAAGTACACTTCAGAATCAGTGAACTAAAAAGATGTTACATTCATTATTTTAAATACTTAGCTTATTAATGTTGACAGATAATGCCAAACTGCCTTCCCCACAGGTTATTTCAGTTTATTTACATCAGGAACTCATAAATACCTGTTTCCCAGCTCAAATGCTTATTAACAAAGGACATATTATTCATTTATTTCAATTTTTGCCACATGGATAGAAAAAAATGGCATTTCATTATTTAAACTTGTGTTTTTCCCTGGTTATGAGGGAGGCTTGACATCTTTTCTTAATTGACCATATGTGATCCTCTTCACTCCTATATGTCCCTTCACTCATATACTTTCTCTTCCCTGAAATGTCTTGTTTCTATAACGTTTGCTCATTTTCCCACTCGGTGCTTTTTTTTCTTAATAGTTTGTAGGCTTAATAGTCTGCTATACTCTTGACTTAAGACTTAACTGTCCTTCATCACTCAATTTAAAATTCAAAGTACATTCCTAGAAAAATAGAATCCGGACTCAAAAACTTGAATGAATCAAAGTCATATCCAGCTCAGAAGCACCATCTTAAGGACATTCTCTGCAAATGAAGAAGCTATGGGTGCAGTAAGGGCTTGAGTCACTTCTAAGGTATCATGTTGGAGGTCCAGAATCTTGGGAACTTTAGAATGGACACAGTCATTTAACTGATGACCTCTCTGTCCTCACTCTAATACAAAGGATTACAAATGGGGTTTGAGGGCACTTGGGGGTACCTGGAAAAATGAAAACTCTAAGAGGCTTCTTTAGTGAAAACTTCTCTCCTTATTTAATAAGTTCTACTTTATACCATCCAGCTTCCAAAATTTTATGGAAAGCAGGGGAAAAGGGAAAACTGGAAAAAAGCTAATTATAACATTAAAGTAAAACAACTTTAGAATATAAAAAATTTCTATGGTACAGATGAAGTTATTTACATGAATGTATCACACACTGAATCAAAGTGTTTACTAGAGATAATGACTATAACCAACACTTTTTTAGGTCAGGCACTATTCTAAATTATTTATATATACATACAAAATAAAGATCCAATTCCCTTTGAAACATGCTCCCAAGGAATGATATGGTTTTTTGAATTTTACTAGCATTTTGTTGTATATGATTGGTCCTATAAATGGCCTACTGCCTGAAGTTAGAAAATTAATGAAATAGATGCGTAGGTCTGAGAACCATAACTTTCTGGGTGTCTTAAGAAATAGTAAGAAACAGTTAGACAGTAACATTTTGAATTTGGTTCAAATAAATTTTGCTGCACTAAGATAAGTATGAACAAGTAATTCTAGGTCTTTACAACTAGCGACACACTGTGCAACCACTGACCTATTATTCCTTGTGGCGTTACTAGGTCGGACCAATCCTTGATATCCTCAAATTTCACCTTAATGAGGCTGACACCTTTCAGCTTATCGACTGGCAGCTCCTTTATATATTCCAGACGGCTAAAGAAGAAAATCTTTGGCACAGCTCCAGCCTTGAGAGCGTCTGCAATGAGCCTGCGACCTTCCAGCAGAATCTTCCCTTGCTTTTCCCGAAATGGCCTGGACTTAACTATTGTCATTACACTGCTGTGGATGGAAACAAAAAGACAAGTAATGATCAGCATCCTTGTTCCTGAGACACTTAGTTCTAACAGACCTAAAAAGGACTCGCAGAGACAGAAACAAACAAATTCCAAAGAAGACACTTATTCTGCCCTCAGTGCACAGAAAAACCAGCGGGCCGTACTGCAAGAAGTCTTCCATCAGAAGGCGGGAGGTAGGGGCCAGCAATGAGGTAGGAAAGGAAACGGGAACGCTCGACAAGACTCAGGAACACATCACCTGAGCCTCCTGTCCCCGGAAAATGCCTTATCGTAGCGAAGCCCTGACTCTTCCCAAGTGCAGGGCGTCTTAGATGGGGACACCTGAAGCGGCTGTGTCTGCCGCTGCTCGTCAGGACTGGCCTCAGACGCTGCCTTGCGGGGCTGTTTCCCAGGAGCGCGCTTCCGTTCCATCACCTGCCCGGATGGAAACACCACTTTCACCGGGCTGCGTCGCAGCGCCCGGACCCAGCGCCGCGCGTCGAGGTTCCGTGTCTGGACCACCGGCAGCAAGGGTCGCATGGCTATCCGCACACCTAACGCGAGGGTCGCCATCTTCCCTGACGGATCACCAAAGCGCGCCGGCGCCGACCAATTACGACACAACCCGTTGCGTCATCTGTGGGCGGGGCGAACTGTGCACGTGACGGCCGTGTAGTGGTGGGAGTTATGGCAGCTCGGCGAGCTCTGCACTTCGTGTTCAAAGTGGGAAACCGCTTTCAGACGGCTCGTTTCTACCGGGATGTCCTGGGGATGAAGGTGCAGACCGGGCCCGACCGCGGCTGACGCGCGAGGCTGGCACAGCTGCCCCTGGCGGCGGGAGGGGAGAAATGGGTGTGTCGCGAACCTCGCCGGGGAGTGTCCGACCTTAGGCCCGGGACTCACTGTTGGGCCTGCATGATTTTCAGCTTCATGAAGCGTTGCGAGTCGCTAGTTGGGCTAATAAGCCTTGAAAAGGGGCTAACACGGCCGGGTGCGGCGGTTGACGCCTGTAATACTATCACTTTGGGAGGCGGAGGCGAGAGAATAAAAGGGTCTAACACTGTTAGTCGCCAGCTGTATGCCCACGCACGTTTTTTCACAGATGTGTATTGAGCCTCGCCTTGTGGAGTTTACAGTCTACTGGAAAAGACAGTAATAAGCAAAAAAGTTATTTAATACTTTTCCAATTAACAATAACTTCCGGTTTGGAGCCTTTGGTTTAGATAATCAGCATATTCAAATTTCTGCTTCTGTCGGGCTTGGTCTGAATGGTCTTTCTTGGATACTCAATTTCTTGGGGTAAATGCACCAGCTCACCTTTTTTTTTTTCCTTTCTCTTGTCTTTTTTTTTTTTATTAACATTTTTTATTATGATTTTGTGGGGGTACAGTTAAGGCTTAGGTGTACAATTACGTTTCATTTAGGCATTCTGTTGATAAGAGGTGTTTCCCAATCCCCAGACAGATATTTGCGACTGTTAATCCCCTCCTCCTCCCCCCCATAGTTTCCTAGTACCGTCAGTCATTTTCTTATAGTATTACATTGGATGTTCAAGGTCCATTATATGAGTGAGAACATGTGATACTTGGATCTTTGTTTCTGTGAGAGGTCACTCAGTATTATAGACTCTAGTTCCATCCAGGTTGCTGTGAAATTCATGATTTTGTTCTTTTTTATGGCTGCGTAGTATTCCATCGTGTATATGTACCACATTTTTTTAATCCAACTCACCTTTCAACAATCCAGATCTAAGTATAAGGTCAGAACCCATCTCCTTTCCGACACCAGCAGCGACCTCTCTCTGGTCCTGAGAATCTGTGATTGCAGGAATCGCTTGGCTGGAAGACGTAGGTGGAAGTTGTTGGGGAGCACCGGATAAGCCAGGGAGAAACACACAAGTAGGGAAAGCTTTAGAGGTGCAAGAGTGCAGTTTAGCATAGAGACTGCGATAGAGGTGGAGCCCAAGGGGATTTAACTGACTTCATCAGTCGTTTTTTGTTTGTTTTTTTGAGTTGGAGTCTCACTCTGTCGCCCAGACTGGAGTGCAGTGGCCGCTCCCGGCCACCACAGCCTCGACCTGCTGGGCTCCGGCAATCCTTCCACCTCAGCCTTCCGAGTAGCCAGAATTACAGGCACGCGCTACCACGCCCGGCTGATTTTTTGATTTATTGTAGAGATGAGGTCTCGCTGCCCAGGCGGGTCTCGAACCTGCGGGCTCAGGCAATCCACTCACCTCAGCCTCCCAGAGGCACAGGATTACAGGCTGAGCCACCAAGCCCGGCTTAGTCGTTTGTTTTAAAATATCTCTTTTTTCAGGATACTGTGTTGAGTTTTGGCAATAGAGGTGCAGATGACCCTGGTATATGCCCTCAGTTAGAGCTCATGGCCTGTGTTGGGGGAGGGGATGGGAATTGGAGTTGTACATAGCTAATTGTAACGTAAGTCAGAATTTAATAAGTGACAGCAGAAAACCACAAAGCTCTCCCTTATTGTATTTCCTCACTGATCAAAGGTTTGTTGTGAAGGTTAAACACATTATTATATGTGTAATATTTGACATAGATTGTATATATGATATAAGTGTTAGCTACTATTATAAAAATACAAAAGGAGAGCTTTTCCAACCTGGTTGGTCGGGTGATATTTCATGGAGACCTTGCATCCTAGTTGGCCTCTAAAGATAGATCGGATTCCCACAGTTAGATTAGAGGGAGAAGTTATACTAGAAAAACTGAATAACCAGTGTAAACAAGGCACGTTTAGGAAACCACAAGCTATTATGTGCCTTTGGCTGAAGTTGCTTAGTTGAAGTTGAAGAGATGGGATATCAGGACAAATAAGGTGGGATTGCTTCTGATAGCATCTTGAATGGGATACTGAGGAATTTGGACCTTATGCTGCCGTAAGTACTCATGTACATTTTTTAACAGAGTGATGTGATCCGAGCTGTGCTTTCAGGACATTTTTGTTGGTATTAAGGAAGGAAATTAATAAAGATGATTTTAATAGCTTGAAAGAAGTGATGGGAACTTGAACTGGAGAAGTAGCAGTGGGAATTAAAAAGGAAAACAAACTGGGTGCGGTGGCTCAAGCCTGTAATTCCAGCACTTTGGAAGGCCGAGGCAAGAAGATTTTCTAATCCCAGAGGTTGGAGACCAGCCTGGGCAAATTGGTGAGAATCTCTACCATAAATAAAAACATAAGCTGGGCATGGTAGCACACAACTGTAGTTCCAGCTACTTGGAAGGCTGAGGCGGAAGGATCGCCTGAGCCCACAGGTCAAGGCTGCGGTGGCAAAGGACAAAGGAAAACGGAAACTAACACAATGAGAGCTCTCTGTGTATAAGGTTCTGTGTTAGATGTCTTCATAAGTTGCCCGTTTTCACAACATAATAGACTGAGACTTGATCCTGAATAACTTAGAGTTACATAATGACTGACAGTCAGAATTCCAAATCCAATTAATTTAATGCTTCCCTTTTCTTCACTGCATAGCACTGCTTCTCAATCTAAATAGATTTCACAACTTGCTTGGTAGCCTGACCTTGGTAGTAGGCTATCCTTCCTTACCTCTACTACCTCTAGCTTAGGAAAGGTATAAAGCTCATTTTCTTTTGTTCCTTTACAAGTAAAACTTACAAATGGTAATATCTATGTTTTGACATTTTATTCTAATTCCCTTACCAGGTTCTGCGGCATGAGGAGTTTGAAGAAGGCTGCAAAGCTGCCTGTAATGGGTATGATACCTTGTTTCTTAAAATCTCTTTATACTCCTGGAGAACACAAGACAGTTCCTCAAAGTGAGTAGAAGACAGTGAAATAAATTAGGAGGAAATAAATTAGGAAGTCAACTTCAAGAACACTGGAAAGGCGGGTGTGATGGCTCACATCTGTAATCCCAGCACTTTGGGATGCAGAGGTGAAAGGATTACCTGAGGGTTTGAGACCTGCCTGAACAACATGGCAAGACCTCGTCTCTACGGTAAATTAAAAAATCAGCCGGGTGTGGTGGTACATGCCGGTGGTTCCAACTACTTGAAAGACTGAGGCGGAAGGATTTCCTGAGCCCAGCAAGCTGAGACTGCAGTGGCCATGAGCATGCCACTGCACTCCAGAATGAGACTCCAACTCACAAAAAAAAAAAAAAAAAAGGACACTGGAAAAACATACTGTTTTTCTATACTGTATTCTCATACAACACTTGTGACACACCAAGCAATTCTCCAACTCTCCAAGTACCAGCTGGGTGTCCTATTATTTACTTCAATTCTGACTTGACTTGTAAGAGCCCACGAGGTAAAGGCTTAGTCCCACAAAACTGCCCCCATTTCAGATGCCAGTCTGGACCTCCAGTATTTCTGACAGCCAGCTGTAAGTCGGGTATTTCCATACCCCTTCTTTAGGTTTGATAATTTGCCACAGTGGCTCATGGAACTCAGGGAAACACTACTTACATTTACTGGTTTATTATAGAATACAACTCAGAAACAGTCAGAAGAGATGTGTAGAGCAAGGAATGAGGGTGGAAGGGTGCAGAGCTGCCATGCCCTTTCTGGGCCAGCCACTCTCCCAGTACTTCCATGTGTTTAGCAACCCAGAAAATTCATCAAATCTTGTTCAAGATTTTTTGTTTGTTTATTTTTCATTTTAGTCAGAGTCTCACTCTGTCACCAAAGCTGGAATGCAGTGGCATGCTCACGGCTACTGCAGCCTCAATCTGCTAGGAGCTCAGGTGATCCTTCCACCTCAGCCTTCCAAGTAGCTGGAACTACGGGCGCACACCCCATGCCTGGGTAGAGATGAAATGTCGCCAAGTTGCCTAGACTGATCTTGAACCCCTGGCCTCAGGCGGTCCTCTCACCTTATGCCTCCCAAGGTGCTGGGATTACAGATGTGAGCCATCATGTCTGGCTGTTTTTTGTTTATTTGAGTCAGGGTCTCACTCTGTCATCCAAGCTGGAGTGCAGAGGTACAATCATGGCTAACTGTAGCCTTAATCTCCTGGGCTCAGGCAATCCTTCCACCTCAGCCTCCTAAGTAGCTGAGACTGCAGGCTGCACACCACCATGCCCAGCTAATTTTTTGTAGAGGCAAGGTCTTTACAAAAGATTGGTCTTGAACTCCTGGGCTCAATTGATTCTTTTACCTCTGCCTCCCAAAGTGCTGGGATTACAGACATGAGCCATCGTGCTCGGCCCAAGAATTTTTATACAACTTAACAGAACCTAATCTCCTTGCCGGAGGTCGATGAGTAGGGCTGAAAGATCCAACACTCTAATCATGTTGTAACCAGCCCCATCCTACATTACCTCATTAATGTATACTCAGGTTATGTTTGAAAGGAGGTCATTATGAATAACAAAAAACACTCTTGTCTCTCAGGAAATTCTAAGGGTTTTAGAGCTCAGTGGTAGAAATCAGGTACAAAGACCAAGGTTATTTTATATTACACCACAGCACAACTAAATATATGCCCTGGCTGAAGTAATGGCTATATAAGAGTATCTTTTAAGCTTAGTAGCCATGGCAAGTTGGAAAATTCCAAGACCTGTTGGGAATTGCATGCTTATTGACTTATATGCAAATAAATAAACTAAGGTCAGACTGGAGAACTAACCGTCTCAGGATTCTGTTCCCTGCTTTAAAGAAAGGGCAGATGAACCTTTTCTTCAAGTGAGTACCTAGTAGATGGTCTTTGGAGCTTCTGATCGGGGCTCATGTGCACTGTCACAGCTGCTCTCAGCACCATTTGAGGATCTGAGGTCATCTCATCTTTCTTTTTTTTTGAGTCAGAGTCTCACTGTCGCCCAGGCTGGAGTGCAATGGCACACTCACAGTCACCACAGCCTTGACCTGCTGGGCTCAGGCAATCCTTCTGGCTCAGCCTTCCAAGTAGCTAGAACAACTGGTGCATGCCACCATGTCCGGTTAGTTTTTTGATTTATTGTAGAGAAAAGGTCTCACCAAGTTGTCCAGGCTGGTCTTGAACCCCTGGACTCGCAGTCCTCTTGCCTCGGCCTTCCTAAGTGCTGGGATTACAGGCTTGATCCACTGCACCCAGCCTCATCTCATCTTTATGAATATTTTTAGGACTAGAAGAGACCGCTGACTTCTCTGTGCCCAAAGTTCTTTAGGGACGTCCTGAGACAGATTTTGTCTATGGTCACTGAGTTCACTTTCTTTCATTTTTTTCTAGGCCTTATGATGGGAAATGGAGTAAAACAATGGTGGGATTTGGGCCTGAGGATGATCATTTTGTTGCAGAGCTGACTTACAATTATGGCATCGGAGACTACAAGCTTGGCAATGACTTTATGGTAATTATCATTTTGTTCCAGCAGATTGTTAGCTAGAGTGGTTGACTGGTTTTAATTTTCATAGGGGGTTGAGTGTGTGTATTGGTGAGGAGATAGCATTTGAGCATAGGCTCAAAAAAGGTAAGGTAGTTAGCCATGTGGATATCTGGGAGAAGAGCATTCCGTGCAGAGAATAACCTGTGCAAAAGCCCTCACGTAGCACCTGACATGTTCAAGAAAATGCAGGAAAGCCGGTGTGGCTGGAATAGAGAGAGAGTGAGGGGAAGGTGGTGGCAGATGGGGTCAGAAATTTATGTTGGGCATTTTAGGCATTCCTGAATGAAATGAAGAGCCATCTGAGGACTTTGAGCAGAAGGAAAACAAGGCTGGCTACTATCTTGAGGATAGACTATAGGATGTGTTTTGGAAAGTTTACTTTGGCTGCAGAGTGGGTAATGGATTGACAAGACTGGAGGTAGAGAGGCTGTTAGAATAAGCCACACTAGAAGCAAGGCTGGTCTTATCAGAATGCATAGGTGTATGTTTCTAGGTACTTTGATTAAATTTAAAGAAACTTGATGGCTTGTTTAAATTTTTTTGTTTAAAAGGCAAAAACTTCTTGGATGATAAAATAAAATTTTAAAAAAGACAACTCAAATAGGTAGCTGGAAGAATAAGTTTTCTCTGGCTAGATCTTTAAAATTAGAAGAGGCTGTCTTTTATATTAAATGAATGAGACTTCACTGGCATTTTAATTTCTGTTTTATGATTCATGAAGTTCTGAATCTTTGTGGGAGAAAACATCCAAAACCTATTTTTAAATTATGAGAAGGCTGGGCTCGGTGACTCTGCCTATAATCCCATCACTTTGGGAGGCCAAGGCGAGTGGATTGCCTGAGCCCGCGGGTTCAAGACCAGTCCAGGCAACTTGGCAAGACCTCATCTCTACAATACATCAAAAATTAGCCAGGCATGGTAGCATGCGCCTGTAGTGCCAGCTACTTGGAAGGCTGAGGCGGAAGGATCGCTGGAGCCCAGCAGGTCGACACTGGGGTGGCCATGAGTATGCCACTGCACTTGAGCCTGGGTTAGGGAGTGAGACTCTGACTCTAAATAAATAAATAAGTCATGAGAAGATGCTGGGCATGATGCATACTTGTAACCCCAGCACTTTGGGAGGCTGAGGTGGGAGGCCAAAAGTTCAAGACCAACCTGAGCAATATAGTGGACCCCCAACTCTACAAAAAATAAATAAAAACAAATTATTAGAAGAAAAATTTGAATACCAATTAAATGTTAGGTGATTTGACCTAAAGGTAGTGGGTCATTATCTTGTTCTACAAAAGATCTCTTGTGATTATATACTTGAGTGATACTGTGGTTTGTCATAGGGTATCACGCTCGCTTCTAGCCAGGCTGTCAGCAATGCCAGGAAGCTGGAGTGGCCACTCAGGGAAGTTGCAGAAGGTGTTTTTGAAACTGAGTCCCCAGGAGGATATAAGTTTTATTTGCAGAATTGCAATCTACCGCAATCAGGTAATTATACCATGACTAGTAAAAGCCTCTGTCTAAAGGCATCTTTGGTAGAAGGAGCATGGGAGTTGCATTTCTTTCTTATGTAGTCTTTCTATATTGACATGACATTCCTTTCCAAGCCAGTGTTTTTACCTGTTCTCTGAGAAATTAATATTCTCATATTAGAACTTTAGTACATAACCACAGGGGATCTAGATGGGTTCTGTTCTACAGATAATGTATTGATTTATGATTCTTTCAGCTGCAAATAACAGAAAAACCCAACTAGTTTATAGAGTTTTAGCCAGGCTTGGTGGCTCAGCCTGTAATCCCGCGCCTTTGGGAGGCTGAGGTGAGTGGATTACCTGAGCCCGCGGGTTCGAGACCCTCTTGGGCAACTTGGTGAGACCTCATCTCTAAAATAAATCAAAAAATTAGCCGGGCATGGTAGCGCGTGCCTGTAGTTCCAGCTACTTGGAAGGCTGAGGTGGAAGGATCACCGGAGCCCAGCAGGTCGAGGCTGCAGTAGCCGGGAGCGGCCACTGCATTCCAGTCTGGGCAACAGAGTGAGACTTCCACTCAAAAAAAGTTTATAGAGTTTTTTTAGCTCACAGAACAGATATTCTGTAGGTCTATAGGGAAGATTTAGTTGATTCAGCAGCTTAACAATGGCATTGAGAACCCAAATTTTCTCTTTCTATGTTGTTATTCTCAGTGTACTTCTCCTACAGCTAGGCCCCTTCATGGTTGCAAGATGGCTACCAGTAGCAGTTCAGCTACATGCACCCACATTCACATCTTGTAGAAGAGGGAGAGACTTCTGGTATTTATTTATTTTTTTTTTTATTTTTATTTTTTGTCAGGGCCTCATTCTGTTGCCCAGACTGGAGTGCAAGTAGCATGATCATGGCTTAGCCTCCTGGGCTCAGACAGTCCTTCTGCCTCAGCCTCCTGAGTGGCTGGGATGACAGCATACGCCTCTACTAGACCCAGGGAGAGACTTATTGCTGTTTTCTAAGAGCAGAGCAAAACTAGAGTCTTCCAGCATACTTCCTGGTCAGATCTGATACATTGTGCTTGCTACTGAATCAATCACTGGCAAAGAAACAGAATTATCCCTAAACTAGCTAACCACAACCCTTGATCTGGGGTCTGTTTCTGAACTCCATTGGTGGTACTCGGTAAGTGAGGAGTTCATCATGCTGACTGTTGCACAGAACAAGAAGGAAACCTTGCAGGGTGTGTTTTGTTTATTGCAGAGGCAGCCTCATCATTTAATTCCTGCAAATTCAACTGCCTGCTCTGGCCAAAACAAAAGCAAAAAAGAGGCGGGAGATACTGGTGAATAGCAAGGGCGATTCTGCCTGCCATTTTACTCAGGGAGCCTGTGCTACAAGCAGAACTGAGAAAGGAGCCATGGAGATTCTCTTTCCTCCACTGGGCTGCCTCAGATTCAGATTCCCCTCATGCTGACTGTAGTGTTTAATGCTCCCTGTTTGTCATCTGGTGCTCAGCAAAAGAAAGGCCAATCTGTTCTTTTGTGTGGGAAGTTAGACTGGCTATGTGGTACTTATTGAGAGCTGGTATTTCTATACTTCACTGGTAATTTAAAAGATTTGTATGGTTATTTTTGTAAACAGGGTATTATTGCTTTATATACTGCCTTTAAAACTCAACTCCTAACTCCTCTGCACTTTTTTTGTGCTCTAGTCTTAGTGATATATCTTTTTTTTTTTGAGTGGAGGGTCTCACTCTGTTATAGAAGTCTCTTTCTCTTCTACCAGATGTGAATGTGGGCACATGTAGCCCCAACTGCTACTGGCAGCTGTCTTGCAACCATGAGGGGACTAGCTGTAGGGAAAAGTACACTGAGGATAACAGAATGTAGAAAGACAAAATTGGGGTTCTCAATGCCGTTGTTGATCTGCTGAATGTTGGGCAGAGAGTGCAGTGGCATGATCATGGCTCACTGCAACCTCAAACTCCTAGGCTCAAGCAGTCCTCCCACCTCAGCCTCCTGAATGGCTGCAACTATAGGTGCATGTCACTACGCCTGGCTAATTTTTTTTGTTTTAGAAATGAGGTCTTAGCCGGGCTCGGTGACTCAGTCTGTAATCCCGTGCCTTTGGGAGGCTGAGGTGAGTGGATTGCCTGAGTCCACAGGTTCGAGACCCGCCTGGGCAGCGAGACCTCATCTCTACAATAAATCAAAAAAAATCAGCCAGGCGTGGTAGCGCATGCCTGTAATTCCAGCTACTCGGAAGGCTGAGGCGGAAGGATTGTCAGAGCCCTGCAGGTCGAGGCTGCGGTGGCCGGGGCGGCCACTGCACTCCAGTCTGGGCAACAGAGTGAGACTCCAACTCAAAAAAAAAAAAAAGAAATGAGGTCTTGCTATGTTGCCTGGGCTGGTCTTGAACTCCTGGGTTCAAGCAATCCTCCTGCCTCAGCCTCCCTAAGTACTGGGATTACAGGCATGATCCACTGCACCCATTCTTAGTCTTAGTAGTATTTCAACACTTAAAATGATAGCCCCACAATCCTAAGATGTTTTTGTTCTTTAGAATGGTAGTAAATTTTAGGCATTAATTTTTGATTGGTGATGTACTCAAAGCTGTCTGTCTAACTGGCATTGTCATTCCTATCTTACATCTCTTTCTTTTTTTTTGGACTTAATGTAACAAAATTTATTATCTTAAGAGTCCTGGAGGTCAGAAGTCTGAAATAGGTCTTTTTTTTTTTTGAGTTGGAGTCTTACTGTTTCCTAGGCAGGAGTGCAGTGGCTCACTCACAGCCATCGAAGCCTCGACCTGCTGGGCTCAGAGGATCCTTCTGCCTCAGTTTTCCAAGCAGCTGGAACTATAGGCGCCTGCCACCATGCCGAACTAATTTTTTTATTTATTGTAGAGACGAGGTCTCGCCAAATTGCCCAGCCTGGTCTCAAACCCACGGGCTCAAGCAATCCTCTCACCTTGGCCTCTTCCCAAAGTACTGGGATTATAGGTGTGAGCCATTGTGCCCAGCCTGAAATAGGTCTTACCAGGCTTACTGAAATGGTCTGAAATCAAGGTGTTGACAGAATTGTGTTCCATCTGGAGGCTCTAGGGGAGAAGCTGTATCCTTGCTTGTTCTACTTCTAGAGGCCACCTGCATTCTTTGGCTCCTGGTCGCCTATCATGTTCAAAGCCAGCAGTGTGACATCTTCAAATCTTTCTGTGATTTTGACCCTCTGTCCTACATCTCTTAAGGCTCTCAGTCAACTAGTATTTATTGATTTTGAAATGGAAAGAATGAAAATTGAGTCTGCCAGGTGGAGGCATTTGTGAGAAACACCTTATCTTGATCATAGTATTGCTATTCTAGCAAACAGAAAAATGGTTCTAACTGTGAAAAACCAAAGAAAAATGTATTGAATTTATTATAGTCAGGTGTAGACATGGAACAGTCTCCAGAAAGTCACTTTACAATATAAAAGTTTCTAGTAATGTTAGATGTTACTTTTATTCTTTCTACAAAATAATTTTTTCTTAGAGTAGCAAAAAAACAAAAACAGAAGAAAAGGAGAAAACAGTACCCCTGTAATCTAGAGATAATTACTGTTAACATTTTAGAGTATATCTTTCTACTCTTTTATTAAAAAACATAATTATTTAAATCTCTCCTGTAGGATTCCCTTGTATTATTACATTGCAGGAAGATAAACAATTCTCTTTTGTTGGATGCCTATGTTGTTCCTAGTGTTTCATTGTTCTCAGCAACTTTGTGGTGAATGTCTTTGTGATGAAAGCTCTTCCTACATCAACAATTACTTTTTGAATTGCTGAAAATGCACTTGCTCTTTCAAAAGCAATGAACGTTTTAAAACTTTTGGTACATTCTGTCAAATTGTTGCCCAGAAATGTACTAATTTACACTCTATCAGTGTTATATGATTGTGATTCTGCCTTTCCCCCAAGTAATGGAGTTAACACTGCTAACTTTTAAAATTATTTGCCAACTAGATAACAAAATAAAAAAATTTCTTTGATTTTTTTTTTGTGAGGTTGAATATTTTTTCATATGTTAATTGACTATTCTAATTCCTTCTGTCTGCTTTGTGACTTTTGTCTATTTTTCTAGGATACTCATCTTTTTCCTATTAATATTTAAAGGTGATGTACATAGTAGGGACTTTTGTGTCATATATTACAAAAAAACTTTTCCTACTTTGTGTATGCACTGATTTTTGTTGTAACTCTTTTTGTTTGTTTGTTAAGGAGTTTTCCATTTTGTTTAACCTGGTAGACATTTTACTTCATAGCTTTTCTATCTTTGGTGTCAACTTTAAAGAAAAATTTTTCTCTACTCCAAAATTATATTAAATAATTACCTAAATCTAGTGTTTTCATGGTTTCATTCTTTAAACTTAAACTTAATACTTTAACCTCAACGTAATACTTTAATCTATCAGGAATGTACTTAAACTTAATACTTTAACCCACCAGCGTCCTGATGGGTTAAAGTATTAAGCTTAAAGAAGTTCATAATCTTAAGTCCTTTCAACTTAATGTAAGTAATACATGTATTCCATGTAATTGCATTTAGTTCCCGCCAAATGATAGCCAATTACCTTAATGCCATTTATTGAATAGTGTGCCCTTTAATAGTTTTAAAATCTTTTATCATAAACTAAATTCTTTTATATACATGAGCCTGTTTTGGTCTTTCTATTTCATTGAACTGACTTATCTGTTTCTACTTTTGTTTTTTCCAACAGACCCTGTAGTAAAAGTAACTCTAGCAGTGTCTGATCTTCAGAAGTCTTTGAACTACTGGTCTAATCTACTGGGAATGAAAATTTATGAAAAAGATGAACAGAAGCAAAGGGCTTTACTGGGTTATGCTGATAACCAGGTGAGCAATCTTGGAGAGAAATAACTAGCTTGTTACTTTGAGTTTGGCTTATAAATGAGGTCAGCATGAAAGCTGTTCCCAGAGTGTCTTCATAGTGATTCATTGTTTATACAGATAAACAGAAAGAAGAAAATAAAAATTAGTGATAACCTCACCACCCAGAAATTACTTTCATTTATATTTGGGGATATATCCTTTCAGAAGTGGAAATGCTTAATTAGAGGAGGTGTAAACAAGATTTAATGCATAATATATTTCTTTTCTTTTTTTTTAATAATCTAGTATTTGAGCATGATTTAGTCCTTGTGCTTTGACCCAGCAGTTCTACTAGGAATTATTTTACAGATGTGCTCAACATACATATGTACAAAGACACGTGTACAAGATTTTGTCTGTTGTAGAATTGTTTGTAATAGCAATGTATTAGAACCTTAATGTCCTATAGATGAGAAGAATATGTCAGTAATTTATGGTTCATCTATAAAATGTATTACTATGTATCTATCAAAAAGACTGAGGCAAGTCATCATATACTGAAATGGTCACTTTAAGTGGAGGAATAAAAGGAACAATAATTTGTCAGTTGTGCCACCATTTGTGTAAAAAAAAGATATGCATGCAGTATCTTTATAAGGATACACAAGAAACTGCTGACTAGTTGTCTGGGATAAGAGTAGGAGAAAGACTTAGTTTTTACCTTATTCCTGTAGTATGCTGTTTGAATTTCTTTTTTTTTTTTTTACCGAATATGTGTATAGCCTGTTCCAAAAAATAAAGCCATTTTCTGATTTCTTTTCAGTGTAAGCTGGAGCTACAGGGCATTAAGGGTGTGGTTGATCATGCAGCAGCTTTTGGAAGAATTGCCTTTTCTTGTCCCCAAAAGGAGGTAATGTTTGATACCAGATCTTTTGTTTAAGCTCTGTTGTAGCTACTTGGCCCAGCTAAGAACCTTGCCCTTCCCTTCTTGAGGTTTATTCTGATTGTGGCTTTATCATCAAGGTCAGTTGTTGTTTCAAGAGCAACTGAGATGATAAAATCAAACAAATGGTGCCTTGGTTCTTTCTGGTTGATCTGATATTTCTCTAGGGCTGATGAGGGTTTTGCCGTAAGGGTAATGTGTTGACCCTTTGCTCACTTGCCTCTTTGTTTTCCTCAAGCTGCCAGACTTAGAAGACTTGATGAAAAAGGAGAACCAGAAGATTCTGACTCCGCTGGTGAGCCTGGATACCCCAGGGAAAGCAACAGTACAAGTAGTTATTCTGGCCGACCCTGTAAGCATTACTCAGGAAAGGGACAGGCTGTACCAGGGGTTTCTTTGGAGATGTCTTTTTGCCAAATTTCTTTTCTCTTTATTGGTGTAGGATGGACATGAAATTTGCTTCGTTGGGGATGAAGCATTTCGAGAACTTTCTAAGATGGATCCTGAGGGAAGCAAATTGTTGGATGACGTGAGTCATTTCTAAATTTATATCACCATAGACCTAAGAGGGATGGCATTACGTGTGTATTAGGAAGGGCCAAAGCAACAGGGTCCAGGTTCTTACCATAAGAACCATATCCTTTTGCTGTCAGGGTGACTTTTGAGCCAGGGACCTATGTCTTCATTGCCACCTATATGACCCCTTATCTGGACTCAGCATTTGTGCCTTTCTGCTACCTCAGGCTACCATGGGGAACCACTGCTCTTGTGTATAGCATGATTCTACTCAGTGGAAATCCTGGTACTATCCCCTCTTGCTTCATAGCTCATTCTACAGCACCAGTCTTTTTCTTTTTAGTGGATTGTTCTCATAATACAAACAGGCTCCAAGAGCTTTTGAAAAGTTTTTATTTACCCCACATCCCTTCTCCAGATTTCTTTATAGCTGGATTTCTTCTTTTAAAAATCTGACTGCATACTGTTTCTACTTCTTATCTCCCATTTACACTTTAGTCTGCTCTGCACTGACTCTCGTCTGTTAAGTAGTCACATTGACATCATCAGTGACCTCTGTCTTGCCAAATACAGGAACAACTTTTAGATTCTCATCAAAATCTATCATTCAGAAGCATTCAAAACAGTTGTTCATTATGGGATTCCAGCTTCTAGCACATACCTGGCATGTAGTAGACATTCTGTGAATACTTGGTTGAATGATTAAAGTAGTGAACCAATCTATCCTAGTTCTGTCATTTAATGTCTGTATGACCTTAAGCAATTTAAACTCTGAACTTTGGTCTCCTTATTTAAAAATTTGAGAAAATATAGAGTATCCGTGTCATAAGATGGTTGTAGTTTATAGAGCTTGTCAGACTACTAACATAATAGCAAATGTTCGATTAATGTTAGTTAAAGTAGGAAATGAATAGAAAATACCAGCTTTATCAATTTTATCATGAGGGAAAAGAGAATCTCAGTCATCCTTTCAGCTAGCAAATTTGCTAGGCTCTTTCCTTCTTACTTCTTCATACCATTGACAAACTTCTTCCTCCTCTGAGCACTCTTCTCATCTGGTTTTAAGAGATCCTGCCACTGGCCGGGAATGGTGGCTCAAGCCTATAATCCTAGCACTTTGGGAAACCAAGGTGAGAGGATTGCCTGAGCCCACGGGTTTGAGACCAGCCTGGGCAACTTGACAAGACCTCATATCTACAAAAAATCAAAAAATTAGCCAGTCGTGATGACATATGCCTGTAGTTTAGCTGCTTGGGAGACTGAGGAGGAAGGATCACCTGAGCCCAGCAAGTTGAGGCTGTGGTGGTGGTGAGCGTGCCATTGCACTCCAGCCTAGGCGAAAGAGTGAGACTCCAACTCAGAAAAGGGGGGGGGGTCCTGCCACTTTCACATCTCTGACAGTTTATTCTCAGTCATGCATCTTATTTATCCCAAAATGTTTTTTTACCCATAGTACCACTTTGGCAGTTTTTTATTCTCATTCTGCATTCTTCTCTGAAGAGAGATTACTTGCTACTTTGGTTACCTCTGCTCTGAACTTAAACCATCATCCATTTTCTGATGTCTTCATCTCTAGTTCCAAACTCTTCCTGTGATCCAGACAAGTAGTTGTTGCTGATGAGGTATAATTTAAATAGAATTTAAATGTTTTGACAGTTGTATATACTCATATAACCACTACTCAAAACAAAATATAGACCACTTTCACCATTGCAGAAAGTTATCTCATGCCCATTTCCAAGTAGTTTACACCCCCATCTCCCAGAGGCAGCTACCATTCTGATTTCTGTCATGGTAGATTGGTTTTGTTTGTTCTTGGATTTCGTGTAAATGGAATCATTCAATAGGTGTTCTTTTGTCCCTGGCTTTTTTCACTGAACATTTTTGAGATTCCTCCCTGCATAGATCATTGTTTTTTTTTATTGCTTAGTAATGTTCAATTTTACAGATATAATAGTTTATCCATTTTTCTGATGGTGGATATTTAGGCTGTTGCCATATTTTTATCTATTTTAAGGAGGACTGCTGTGTACATTCTTGAATAAATCTTCTTGTAGGTGTTTCATTTCTCTTGGGTAAATACCTAGAAGTAGAATTGCTTTTACTTTATAAGAAAGTGCCTAACAGTTGTCGAATGTAATTGGACCATTGTATGCTTATGGGAACTCCAGGTGCTTTACATCTTCACCAGCATGTAGTTTGTTTTTTATCTGTTATTTTTAGCCATTCTAGCACACACAAAATGTTTTTTCATTGTGGTTTTAATTTGTATGTCCTTGATGATTAATGATGTTGAGCACATTTTCATATGCTGATTGGCCATTTGCTATATGTTTTGTCCGTTTTTTCATAATAGGCTTCATTGTTTAATATTTCATGATTAAAAATTCCAAATATACATAAGCGAGTACAACAAATCCTTATGTCACTGTTACCCATCAACTCTGTACCATAATATTTCATCATTTCATCACTTACAAATGCAGGTACTGTTCCCAGACTGTAGCTTGCCTATTTATTTTCTTTATAATAGAGTCTTTTGAAGAGCAGGAATTTTTATTTTATTTTAGAGATTGGATCTCACTCTGTCACCCATGCTGGAGTACAGTGGCTTGATCATAGCTCATAGTAACCTCAAGCTCCTGGGCTCAAGTAATCGTCCTGCTTCAGACTATCAAGTAGCTAGGACTACAGGCACATGCCCCCACAACCAGCTAATTTTTTTTTTTTGTAGGGATAAGGTCTTGTTGTGTTGCCCAGGGTGGTCTCGAACTCCTGGCCTCGAACTGTTCTTCCACCTTAGCCTCTCAAAGTGCCAAGACTACAGGCATGAGCCACCATGGCCAGAAATTTATTTTGATGAAGTCCAACTTAACAACTTTTTCTTCTAAGTGTAGTGCTTTTCCTATTGAGACCAGTGTTTTATCCAGTGAACTTCTTCACCTGGGAAGCCCATGACATTTCAAGCTTAGCATGTCTATAACTTAATTTATCTTACCTCAAATCTATTCATTTAATAATAGTAAATAAAAGTTACTATTTATTTTATTTTATTTTATTTTATTTTTTGAGTTGGAGTCTCACTCTGTTGCCCAGGCTAGAGTGCAGTGGCACACTAATGGCCACCACAGCCTTGATCTGCCGGGCTTAGGCAATCCTTCCACCTTGGCCTTCCAAATAGCTGGAACTACAGGCATGCACCACCACGCCCAGCTAATTTTTTGATTTATTTTAGAGATGAGATCTTGCCAAGTTGCCCAGGCTCGTCTCAAACCTGTGGGCTCAGGCAATCCTCTCACCTCGGCCTCCCAAAGTGCTGGGATTATAGGCGTGAGTCACCGCACTTGGCAAAAGTTACTATTTATTAAGCATCTCTTATATTGCCATGTCCATAAGTGCTTTATATACATATTCTAATACTTCATCAAGTATTAGATGCAAGGTTGATAGCATTCCTCTGCAGTTGAGGAAACAGGCTCAGAAAGATGAAGGCACTCACCCATGAATATTATACATTCAGTACATATCATACAGGCAAGGACTGGACAGAGGCCCTTCAGGCTTTACAACCAGTTCTTTTTCTTCCTCTGAACCCTGCTCCTCCCCTGAATAGGACAGTGTATCTGTTGTCCCAACTGTTCAAACTAGAATCCTCGGAGATTGAATCAGAGTCTCTGTTGCCCAGGCTGGAGTGCAATAGCACACTCACGACCACCACAGCCTCGAATTGCTGGGCTCAGGCGAGCCTTCTGCCTCAGCCTTCCAAGTAGCTGGAACCACAGGCATGTGCCACCACACCCGGCTACTTTTTTAAAAATGTAGAGATGGGGTCTTGCCGTGTTGCCCAGTGTGCTTCCGAACCCCTAGGCTCAGGCAATCCTCTCACCTCTCCCTCTCAAAGTGCTTGGATTACAGGTGTGAGCCACCATGCCTGGCCTGGACACTGTTTAAATGTTAATTTTTCTATTGTGGACAGTATACTGAGGTATAAGGTGGGCTATACTTTTCGTTTTTCAGACTTGAAATAAATGTATCTTTCATTTCTATTTCTTTAGGCACTGGCGGCAGATAAAAGTGATGAGTGGTTTGCTAAACAAAATAAACCGAAGGCTTCAGGTTAATGGAAGATATTATGTGGAACAAGCTTTTGTGATTCCTCTGCGGCACCTGTGAGGCCTGATACGTCTGTCCCTGATAAATACTCTTCCTCTTTGGTTGTTTACTGTATAGGCATGGAGGCCTGGGTGATGAATTTGTGTATCTCAGTCTTTGAAAGCACTGGTTTATTTTAGAGATGAAATCCAGTTATCATTAGTCCAGGAGAACTCTTGCTTTAATTTGAACTGTCACTGGAATGGCACCTTCTGTTCATAGCTATATGAGATTAGTGACAAGTGATTTTTCAGACTCGGACAGCTGTATGGGGCGTTACCCTTGGGTGGAGATGGAGGCAGTTTTTGGTAAGCTGTGAAAACGTTGATTTTATGAGAACAACTGGTCAAATAAAATCAATTACTTTTAACAGTAACACTGTCAGCACGTAGCGAGAGGCTAAAAGAATTAGTTGGCATTCCTTCTTACTTGCTTTTACATTTCTAGTAGCCAGAGAAAACAGATGGGAAGGATTTAATGTGATATGACGCTACACATCCTTGCAAGAAATATGTTAGATTTCTTAAAAACGAACTAAATGATTTCTTCAGCCTGAAATTTAAAAAAAAATGTTTCCTTGTACTTGTTGGCTCTACAGAACAAATAGACTTTAATCACTGGAAACAATTGTATTGGGTATCAAACTTTTTTTGAAAGTATGCTTCTGAAATCAAGCTGTTATGCCAGTCTCATTATTGAAAGTGGTGGCCAGATTCAGATTTTAGAGATTAAACTGAGGAGATTGGAAAGGATTGACTCAGGATACCAGTTCCAAAGTAACATGTATAAAATTACTTATAAATCATCATCTTTCTTGTTCTCCCTTACTGGCAGGGTAGGGCCTGGAAATTTTTGGGCGAGTTTTTGGTTATCTTCCTGTAGCAGTGATCTTTCCTTCACTGAGAGAAAAAACCCTCGTCTAACTTCATAGCTTTTCATTCACCCCTTTCATTCCTTATCTTAGGGAAGCAATCATGAGTTTTAGAGCAAACCAAAGTTACACAAGTTCCTCCTCTGGGTAATGGGTTCATTTTTCATACATGAGTAGATTATTATATGAAGTTTGAATAATCAAATAAACTTCTTTGCCTCTTTAGACCATGAGATGCTAATTGCCAAGTTTGCCATTAGATTATTATTTTTTTTTTGAGTTGGAGTCTCACTCTGTCGCCCAGACTGGAGTGTAGTGGCCGCTCATGGCCACCGCAGCCTCGACCTGCTGGGCTCCAGTGATCCTTCTGCCTCAGCTTTCCAAGTAGCCGGAATTATAGGCGTGCTCTACTATGCCCAGCTGATTTTTTGATTTATTGTAGAGATGAGGTCTCGCTGCCCAGGCGGGTCTTGAACCCGCAGGCTCAGGCAATCCACTCACCTCAGCCTCCCAAAGGCGCGGGATTACAGGCTGAGCCACCGAGCCCGGCTAGATTATTAATTGTTGGTGTTTATCTCTAGTAATACTGTTCTTGTGAAAACTACTTTTCCCAGCGTATGAGACTGCTGCAGTGTGGATCTCTAAGTTACTGCAGTAAAATAAGTGGCTTATATAAGTACTGAATAAATAACACATGTTAGTTTCCTGTTTGTCTGCTTATCTTGTATTTCTTTTTTTTTTTTGAGTTGGAGTCTCACTCTCTCACCCAGACTGGAGTGCAATGGCTGCTCCTGGCCACCGCAGCCTCGACCTGCTGGGCTCCAGCGATCCTTCTGCCTCAGCATTCCAAGTAGCTGGAACTATAGGCGCGTGCTACCACGCCCGGCTAATTTTTGACTTATTGTAGAGATAAGGTCTTGCCAAGTTGCCCAGACGGGTCTCGAACCTGCGGGCTCAGGCAATCCACTCACCTCAGCTTCCCAAGGCGCAGTATTACAGGCTGAGACACCGAGCCCAGCTAAAACAGTAATTTTAAACCAAAAGCTATGATTACATTCTCACCTCTAGGTGGATAGTATGATCGGTTAGAAAATAAGATTATTGGCAGGCGAGACTTCTTCTCTACAATAAATCAAAAAATTCCGGCTACTTGGAAGGCTGAGGCGGAAGGATCGCCGGAGCCCAGCAGGTCGAGGCCGCGGTGGCCGGGAGCGGCTACTGCACTCCAGTCTGGGCGACAGAGTGAGACTCCAACTCAAAAAAAAAAAAAAAAAGAAAAGAAAAGAATGGGAGTGATAGTAAGATGAGTTAAAAGAAAAAGAAAATGAGATTAAAGTAAGCATTACTTTGCCCCAGCTGATGTTTTAAACAGATGAAGTCGGAAAGCTCTTCAGAGTTGTGTTTTTAGAGTGATCATTTTGTTTTTGAGTTGAAGACTTGTAGAGTCCTAGTATAAATTCAAATGTGCCTTGAGGTTAAATCAAGAGACATTGAGAATACTGCGTTGCCTGAGTTCTCCTAGGTTAACCTGGAGAATTAGCCTAGGTAGCTATATAAAGTCCATGTCCTACCCTGACCCCATCAATCTCATTCCCCTTGCCTCCTATAGGTAACTACTTAGAGTAAGCAAATGCACATATATAAATCCTCATTTTCTCCCTTTTCCTCACAAAATTTAACACACTGTTTACACTGTACCCTGTTTTGATTCCTGTTGTTTTTAGTTAATCTATCCTACAGTTACTTTCTGCAGTCCTAATAATAGCACATTTTACTTTATTAGGTTCTATAATGATTTACCTAATGGTATAGCTATATCCATAGCTCCTACTTGCCACCATATTTTGGAAGAAAATGTATTTTTTTTTACCATTAGTATTGAATGTGAATCATGTTCCTAAAACTACCAAAATGTGTCCATAACATCCTTCAAAGAGAGAACAGCATTGCTGTTCTACAATGTAGCTCTTGCTCAATTTATAGTTACAAGGATTAGTTTTTTAGTCTCTATGGTCTGCTGGGTATACTTCTTTATTAAGCTATATACTTATGTGTACAGCAGCTTTCTGCAAATGTGTGAACAGAAGATCATGAAATCTGGTGATATTTGGTTTCCTTTGTCCTCTGAAGTCTTTATGGTTGTTGCTTCTGTTTTTTATTGGTCCCTCATGAACTGGGAGCTGACCTGATGTCATAATCTATGAAAGTAGTTTTTGGGTTTCATCTTTTTTTGAATCAGAGTCTCACTCTGTCACCCAGGCTGGAGTGCAGTGGTACTCACAGCCACTGCAGCCTTGACCTGCTGGGCAGGTGAGCCCTCTGCCTCAGCCTTGCAAGTAGTTATAACCACAGGCATGCACCACCACACCCGGCTAATTCTTTTGATATATTGTAGAGACAAGGTCTCCCCATGGTGCTCAGGCTGGTCTCAAACCCCTGAGTTTAGGCAGTCCTCTTGTCTCTGCCTCCCAAAGTGCTGGGATTACAGGCATAAGCCACCATGCCTGGCTGAAAATAGTTTTTAACTTAGGAAAAGTACTAGAAAATCCCATGCCACAGCAGACGTCTCCGAATATCACATAGCCCTCCATATCCCAGCCACTACACACAGTAGCATTGATGGAGGCATTGACTCCTCCGTGATAATTGACCCTATGGAGTAGAAGCTAGGCTCAGGCACTTTGATACTTGCGTAGGTCAAGGGGTGTGTTGTGCTCTTACAACAAGTTCCACATATACTTCATATACAGATTGTCCCACAAACATGCAAACAGAAACCAGGGTTAACTATGGAGTACTCCCAAGAGATTTTTGGTTACTAGGCCTTAGATGGGTCTTTCTGGGGCTGGAATTTGAAACCATCAACTCCATTGTTTCTCAACTGCTGTTGTGATTCATCAATTGCTTCACCACATTGTCATTAACAGCTTTGCTACCCTCAAGACATTATCTTCATCAGGGCTGTGTTCCAGTGGGGCCTTTTAGGTTTGACTTTAGCTTTTTGGAAGACAGACCCCCTTTCCCCTCTGTAATTGGGGTATTTGTGAATCGACAACCTCCTAAAGAGAGGAGGAGCCTGGGCCTTGGCCTCCAAAAAGGCCGAGTTGCTGGAAAATGGTCTCACAGGCAATTCCACAGCATTTATCTTGCAACCATTTTAGGAGATTTCAGCCACCATCGTTTTTTGGACAGGATCCCCAACTCCCCCAGCCACAGACTGGTATCAGTCCATGGTCTGTTAGGAACCGGGCTGCACAACAGGAGGTGAGTGACCGTTGAGTGGAGTTTCATCTGTATTTACAGCTGCTCCCCATCGCTCACATTACTGCCTGAACTCCATATTCTGTCGGATTAGTGGTGGCATTAGATTCTCATAGGAGCGCAAACCCTATTGTGAACCACGCATGAAGAAGCTAGGTTGAGTGCTCCATGTGAGAATCTAATGCTTTATGGTCTGAGGTGGAGCTGAGGTGGTGATGCTAGTGCTAGGGAGTGGCTGCAAATACAGATTAACATTAGCAGTGAGGTATGACTGCACACCCCTCTCCTGCCCCACTCTGGTCTATGGAAAAATTTCCACGAAACCGGTCCCTGATGCCAAAAAGGTCGGGGACCACTGTTTTAAGAAGTCCTCTATTCCCTCTCCTGCCAAATATGCTCTTGGACTAGGAAGGCTGGGAACTCCACTTGAAACTACATAAAAGGCCATAGATGTTTTTTCTACATTTTGGACACTTCCTGGGACTCAGAGTCACTAAATTTCTCTTTTCCAACAGCAGACAATGACTCCCATGCAGTTGAAGTGATTTATTGATGTTTCAGGACATTTCAGCCATCAAGGTTTTTTAGGAAGCCCATTCCCTACCAGAGGCACCATGCTGCTGCTTTATGTCTGCCAATGTGTCCTTAACCAGCCTCCTCCTCCTTTAGCTCTTCCACTTTGGCAACATAGATCCTCATGGCATCCATCTTGGACATCCCTTTGTTCTCGTTCCATGCCTCCCACTTGGCCTTGGCTTTCACATCTGAGTCGGAAGGGGCAGGGATGTTGAGTCGCCCTGGGTGGCCTATTTATAGTAGCTGTACACCAACAGTTTCTCCTGATTGCTCACAGGACCCTTCAGCTGCTTGATGGCAGCACAGTCCATCTCAAACTTCATCTGACACATTGGGATAGTGGAGGCTGGGCCCCTCTGTCCTCTGTAGGTGATACCTGGTGTTAGGCACTGGGGGATGGTGAGTTAACACATGAGGCTGGTAATGATTAGGTTTGGGGAGAAGAGACAGGGTATTGTGTGGGTATTTGCGTGTTTTCATAAGTACAGATTGCAAAGTAGGGGTCCAGTGGATTTGATCAGTCCCACAGATGTTTTAGCACCCTCAGTGCATTTTGGGGGAGGGCTGTCCATCAGTTTCCAAGGCGTCTGTGATCCCAGAATAGTGGGTGTTGCTGATGTCCGAGAGAGGCAGTACGGCACTGAAAGCACTGAGGGCGACTGCGTGTCTGTGGGGCTGGGCAGGTCGAGTGTGAGACTGGAGACTGCAAACAGGGAACGCGTCCATGTCTGTTTATGGGCAGCTCGGGGAAGGGCATTCAGCGTGGGTGAGCTGTGTGCGGGGTTACTGGGTGAGAATTAGTGAGGGGTCAAGGACTGATGAAGACGACCTTCTGGGACCCAAGAAGTAGGGCTGGGCAACGGGAATGTACAGATGGGTGACGGGGAAGGAAAGCCGGGGTACCTGCCTGTTGGTGGTGAGAGGCCTCTGGCCAGGAGGGGGCGCTGTGGGCTGGGCGGCCTCGACGCCGCGGCTCGTCCGTAGGAGTGCGCGTGCGCGCGGGGC